GCAGTGTGTATATAGTACTTCTGTATCTCATATCATAGCAGTAGATGAGTACATCTTCCTGATATGCATATATATTCGTTTATTATACCTGACTTCCTTTGGCAGAATCCAGTATGAGTTTTATAGCATTCAAAGTCAAAATACAATTGAAAGCAAATAATTAATCACCAGTGGCTTAGTAGGTATTTTGCTTTAAGGAATACATAATTTAATATTATTAATTTTAGTATTAGTGGCTTCTTCTTTTTTTTAACTCTGCAGTTACAAAAAAATAGACTTTTAAAGGACTTATGATCCTTTGCCATAAGTATGAAAATTTACCATACATTAAAAACTGTGGTTAGAGGATAGAATTGAGTAATGTGGACTTTACCTCTAGAAGGAACTCATGAAGGTCTCTATTCTGCTATAATTTTTAATGTATAAATTTCTCTATAGATAAAGGAAGTTAGATTTTTATGGATTTTCAAATTAGTTGCCATTCTTATGTATTTTTTCAATGGACTAGTTCTTGATTAAGGTCATTTTTAAGTTTTAAATAATAGTTCACTGTGTGTTATGACTTTTGTCCATAAAGCCTGTTTGTAATTATTAGCTTATTTTCTGTGTAGTAAACATATTTTATAAGAGCTGAAAAAATTGTCAACATTGGAATATATGGAGAATTCATTATATAATTATTTTCTGTGTTAGTTTAGGGATTGTTGCTTTCTGAATCTTGAAAAAGTTTTATGTATTTTCACTTTTTCAGAGATGTCAAATTGTAAGGTAAATCCAAACAGTTATGTCCACGAATTTTATTATTTTTTAAGTAGGAAAATATATAATTTCTAGGTTTATATATCTTTAATGCATTGTCACATTAGAAATGTAGTGATTTCTAAGAATATCTTAAAATGCTAACCACCATCATTTGTTGTGGATTCAGTAGTAACTATGTAGTAAAATTAGAAATTATCGACAGATATTTAGCTTTTCTCCTCTCCCAGATGGTACCTTCCCCCAAAACATACTTCCAGATAATTACAAAGAGGAATTTAAAAATGGACATTCTCAACTCTTTACGTCAGAACTATAATAATACATTATATATTAAAACTTGTAAGTTAAAGCTGATGCAGTAGTAAAAGGGAAATTTATAACTTTAATTTATTACTAACAAACAGAAAAATAAAAAAGCATTATACGTGCATCTCCTTTGCTAGGGAAAAATAGCAATAACAAGCTAAAACCCAGAGAAGGAGGAAGGAGTTAATAGAAATAGCAAAAAAGCTGACCCTTTTGGAAGATTGAGCAATAAAGACAAAAGCTTATTGAAAAGCCTTAAAAGTAGATACATTTTTGGGCTTCCCTGGTGGCGCAGTGCTTGAGAGTCCGCCTGCCGATGCAGGAGACGCGGGTTCGTGCCCCGTTTCGGGAAGATCCCACATGCCGCGGAGCGGCTGGGCCCGTGAGCCATGGCCACTGAGCCTGCGCGTCCGGAGCCTGTGCTCCGCAAATGGGAGAGGCCACAACAGTGAGAGGCCCGCATAACGCAAGGAAAAAAAAAAAAAAAAAAAAAGTAGATACATTTTTGATCTACAAATAAAAGTACAAATAAACTGTATAAGGATTCAAAAAGGCAAGAAATAAAGATCTAGAGGAGATTCTTTAAGTAAGAGAACATTATTATATACAACCTTATACCTATGAAGTCCATTTTATCTAAGAAGAAAGTAGAAAGCTGAAAACTATGAGGAACTCTGTTAAAATTGTAGTCACTTGTAGTGAAAGATCTGTTTCTGAAGAAATCATTAGGCCCCAAAAGCCTTGCCAGAAAATTCTGAGAAACATTTGAGGAACAGGTAATTCACTTCTCATATAAACACTTCCAGAGTATAGGAAAAGATGAGGCCTCATTTTATGAAGCACACCCAACTGTGGAATTCTGTGGCATTAGAAAAGAACAAATGTAGGCCAGTTTTATTTTCCAGCATTGGTTTCTCTCACGAATGTAAGGCTGGTTCAATATTAACCATTATATTTCACTGTACTAACGGAAGAAGGATGTAAATTGTGTGAGGATTTGCTAAAACTGACCAGGTGTTGGAAAAAATAGGAGGGGAGTACCTTAAATCTCATAAAGATTATCAGAAACCTGTTACAAATATCATATGTAATAGTGGATCTTTGGAAATATTTCCACTAGAGTTGAGGATAGGACAAGGGTGCCTTATCTGTGCTGCTATTTAGAACTTTGGTGACAGCAATAAAACAGGAAAAAGGAGTGAGGAGTAATAATGGTAAATGATAAAACTGTAATGCTTAGCAACTAACTGATAAAAGGAAAACATATTCTAGTAGTCTTGCTGTACATCAGCAACAACCAGTGGGAAATTGTAATGAGAAAACGGTTTCACATATGGTAGACATTTAAAAATAAGAAAATACTTAAGAATAAACCGAAAAACAAAATTTCAAGACCATTATGAAGAAAATGGACAGAAAAAGAAAACATGAGTCAACAGTGATCTACCATGTTCCTGGATAGGAAGACTTGATTCCTCTCAAATCACTATGCAAATTCAGGATACTCAAAATTTCAACTGGACTTTTTATGGAAAAACTGTCAACACACTCTGGAATCCAATGTTCCATTGGTTATGATTTATAAAATGCCATTTTAAGTAGTTTTAACTGAAAATAGCTTTTTCAGTTTTTTCTTTCAGTCTCTCCTCCCACTCGCCTCCCTCAATGAGTAAATCTGTGGCTGCCTAATCCACTTGAGAGTTTTGAATAATGAATACCATGTGTCTGTTTATTCACTAGCTTTTTTGAGCGCTAACATTTGTTATTAGGCAAAAGATATACGACTACTTTTTTTTTTCCCCCCACACAGAATTATTTCCTGAGATATTCCTTGGTACATAACAAAGAAATTCTTGGTTTGCATAGTTTGCTAAACAAGGCCCCAGTGTGTCTGAATCTCAACAATTTATGCAACTTTTATTTAAACAGGTACCATTGTGCCATTATACAAGAAATGATAGATATGCCTAAGAAACCAAGAGCAAATGAAATAGTAGTAGTAATCAAAGATATAGTAATAGAATATTACCTTCCTTCACTAAAAAAACGACTTGTTTATAGAGTTTTTTAAAAGATCTCACAGAATACTTGCCAGAAAAAGAGACCCAATCTTAGACATATTATGACAGATATTTTGAATTATAATTAAAAAATTGTAGTTTCCCTAGATTAAAACAACACAAAAAGTCTGCTCTTTGATTTCTTTTTTATAATATTAAATGGCAGAAGAAATCATGTTTGTGTCTAAATTTGGTTATTTTTTTCCTCTGTCAGTAGTTTAAATTTTGAAGTGATAAAAAAAATTTTTTAAGAGATATTTGAATACTATAGATGTATATGACAAGAAATTGAAGCTCTCTTTACACTGCCTGCCAGTCATAGCCTCTAGAGGTAAACACCGTTAGCTTTGGTGTTTATTCTTCTAGACCTTTCCCCATATATAACATATACAAAATAATGTTTTAAATTTGCTTTTATTTTTAAGGGCAAATAATAATACTATACATATTATGCAATTTATAGAATACCTACCAGATAGCCTGCCAAAAGAAAAAATGAAAGACATTCTTGTATAAGTTGGAGTACAGAAAACACTTTCTCATATACCTTTCTTGAAAAAGTTACTCGAAATATTTGTAACAGGAAGGTAAATCCATATTAAGAATTTTAAAAATTGTGCTGCACATGTCCTTGGGTGTTAATAATATGCATAAATAATTAAGTCCTGAGGAAAATCTTCACCTTGGGAGTCATAGGTAATTGATTGCCTAGCCCATATCGGTGGACTTGAATACTTCTTAAGTTTTGGGATCTTCTTTAGAAGTGACTATTTTGGGAAAAACGGTTTTAAAAGTAAAGAATATTTTCTTTTTATGATACGATTGTATTGGCTAATTGAAATTATCTGGAAGAGCACTTGCTTAGGCAGGCCTCATGAACGCACTCAGAAGTTTAAAATTCTTAAAAATATATTTATCATAAAATGACAGCAACAGCCACAAGAAAAACAATTGAGTATCATAGCAATGCCTTAGTAAAAGACTTAAAGGAAATAAATACAAAGAAAATATTCATGTGGTGATGGGGTAATTTTTCTATTTTTTTCCTTTCTGCCTCTGGTATTAAATTTTTATGAATATGTATGTGGGCAAAATATGTGATCAGGCAGTGTTTAATAAGCAGTACAAATGATTAATAAAATAATCTCACTGACAAATGTTAACACTAAGAAGGTAACATTTTTGTCAGTTTTTTAAAGGTTAACACAATATGAAATTAAATACTTCAAAGAGTAATATCATGTGAACATTTATATACATTGCTATTGAAAGTGTAAATTAACAAAGCCTGTCTGAAAAGCATTTAGATAGGAGCCTTAAAAATATACTCTGTCTCAGAAATTCCACCTCTGTGAATGTAGCTTAAGTAAGTAATCTGAAAGAACAAAATTATTAATTGCATGTTATTTGACTACAGCAGTTAGTTAAGAAACAATTGAACACATCCAGTAGGAAAGAGACTGTATAACTAATGATTCAATATATCATACATATACTCATATGTACTATCAGTAAGGGATTTATAGATATGCTTACTATACGCTTCTCAGTGAGAGAATTAAGTGTGGTTACAACTGTGTTAAAAAATAACAAACGCAAGCACACATATTCAGAAATATACTGGTTTGTGAGCAAACATCCACAGTTCAAGGAGGAAAAAAGCCAATCTTACAAAATTAAGAGTGTTAACGTTTTTGTTATGATTTTCTGTATTTTTCAAATATATGTTTTACAGTCAACTTGCCTTATTTCCTTTGCTGTTAGCTATCTTCTGAGGATCCTATTACCTGTGGGTTTCTTGTTATGTATGCATGGGTTCCTTTTTAATACTATAATGCCATTTGATTTCCGTCTCGTTTTTGCTCTTTTTAGGCCAAGATAGCCAGGTTAACCAAACGCTTTGGAGCAGCCAAAGAAGATCTTAAGAAAAGACAAGAAGTAAGAATTTCTGTTCTTTAGCCTTAAGTGGTAATATTAGGAAGTGCTGATTTAGGAGGAAACTCTTTCTTTATTACAGGTCTGAAATTTGCTTTCATACTATGCACTTCCTGCATGTTGTTTCCGGAGCTGCTACTCTAGAACTAATTATTAACCATTTCTAATCCTCACTGTTTTCATACATCAGTACATATTAATCTATTTATATAAGGCATTCTTGATATTGTATTTTCTATCCATCTTTAAAATTGTGTTTTGGGGATTTGCCTTACCATGTTTCTCTTTTTACATACAGGCATGCCTTGGAGATATTGCAGGTTCAGTTCCAGATCACTGCAGTAAAGCGATTATTGCAATAAAGCGAGTCACAAATTTGTAAAAAAATTTTTCGTTAAAAAAAAGTAAAAGTTATGTTTACGCTACACTATAGTCTATTAAGTGAGCAATGGCATTGTGTCTAAAAAAACAATGTACATACCTAATTAAGAAATACAAAACAAAAAACAAAGTAATGTCAAAGATCACTGATCACAGATCACCATAGCAATATAATAATAATATAAAATATTGAAATATTGCAAGAATTACCAAAAAATGTGACACAGAGATGCAAAGTAAGGAAATACTGTTGGAAAAACGGTACCTATAGACTTGCTTGATGCACGTTGCCATAAACCTTCAATTTGTAAAAAATGCAATATCTGCGAAGTGCAGTAAAACAAGGTATGCCTGTACTTGCCAGTATCCTAGTCTAGACTATTATTTCCTCCAAAATGTTTTAGTATACACTGCCTCAAGTAGCCTGGTTCTCCTCTTCCTTTTTTCCCCCATGTAGTTTAGTCCAAGTGTCATAGCATAGCACACAAACTGTAGTCTGTAGTCACACTTTTGCTTTTGTTGTTTCCTTAGTTATTCAGTAATATGTATTTTTAGTATAGCACTTGTACATTGCACTATTGTTTTTAGTTGAATTTCTTTCTTTTCCTCCTCTTCCTTTTTTTTTTTTTTTTTTTTATCATTTGAGCAAGTTACATTTCTTTGTGTCTTGATATCTCCATTGCCTGGGACATAGTAATTGCCAATAATAATTATTTCAGTAGTAGTCATTATTAATATAGGATTTTTCTGTCTTGAATCATTTTCGTATCTTCTTTACTTGACTTTTTAAAACAAAATTTATTTTGAAATAATGATAGATACACAGGAAGTTGCAGCAATAATACGTAGACTCCTATGAGCCCTTCACTCAGCTTCCCCCAATGGTGAAATCTTCTGTAATTGTAGTACAATATCAAAACCAAGAAACTGTTACAATTCTACTAAATAGTTTTGTAGACCATACCGGTTTCCACCAGTTTTTACACGAATTAATTGTGTGTGTGTGTGTTTCTACGCAGTTTGATCTCATGTATAGATTTATATAACCTGCCACCACCATCAAGATACAGAACTGTTCTCTCATCATAAATGGACTCCCTCATGCTGTTCTTTTATAGTTTCAACCTTGCTTTAACCCTACCCTCACTCCCTGTACCCTGGCAACTACTAATCTGTTCTGCATCTCTGTATTCTTTTTAAGCTCTGATTTCTCTCTTTTCTTGAACAACTGATAGTTTTTATCTTTGTTTACACAGGCTATTCTCATCAAATCCTCATTTGGCCACAGCCAAAGATTTTTTAATTATGATCCTCTCGATGATGTAATTAATTCTCTGATTTTAAACTCCACTTTCTCAGCTTTGTTTTTTTGTCACAGTATAAAAACTAAGCTGTTTTATTTCTTATATTAGAAAATTGGTATAAATCTTTGTTTAACCTTTATTTGCTATGCATCAACCAAATATAGGAGTTTGAAATTTTTCCATTGTTTTGTGCAATATGAATTTCCATTTTTTCCTTTCATCCTGTGTCTGAACTAAGCAGTGCTGCCCACCGTGTACTTTTCCAGTGTTTGTGCATATCAAATTTGTTCTCAAAACTACTTTCCAAGTCTTGTTTGTTTAGTTAAAGAAGATAGGCAGAGACCTTAAGGAATAAAAATGAAAATATTACAATCCATGAAAAGTTTGTCTTGAAGGGCTACAACTGGTATGGAAACAAGGACAAATACTGTGTAATTCCTGAATATTGGAAAAGATTAATTTGGACAGTTAGTATATGTGGCACTTGAAGGAAATGTTAAGGTGTAGTATTCAGTTTTTCAAATTTTGTTCCTTCCCTCTTTAGTTTGTGAACAAGGCCAATTTTAAATTTCAAAACTTGGACATCTTTCTAACTCATTCTTGTTAATGTTTTCTTCTTGTGAGAGAGATTTGTAGAAATTTCAGATTTTGTTCTTTCATGTTTAATTCCCTTTAATTATGGTATCCACTGTACTTTTACATCTGTGTCTTGCTGTTTTAAAAATAAGACATATAGAAAGAATGTTTAGAACTTTATCCCCCTTATGAAAATAACTAAACAAACAATGACACTTCAGATGCTTTTCTTCTATTTAGATTTGTTCCTTGGTCCTTTGATATTAACCAGTTAATAGTGAGCCCCACTATTCAGGTTTGTCTTAAAACATTTTCTATTAATTTCGGAAAGAACAGAAAATCCTCATAGGCAGTTTGCTATTAAGACCACGCGCATAATCTAATCTATTTTACTGCTCTATGACTGATATCTTTAACTTTCATTCTTTCTAGTATTTTACTGTAAAATAAATATCAAGATATTTCTCATCCTTTATCTATAAAAATCAATGACTTATAATTGATTCTCAAACAAATTTTAAATTGAATCTAAATCCTACATTTCAATTTTTTATTAAAAAATATTTTAAATTAAATTTATTATTTATTATTATTTAAATTAAATTCTTTTTACTTTAATTATGATAGAAATAGTTAACATAAAATTTACCTTTTTTTGTGTGTGTGTGGTACGTGGGCCTCTCACCGCCATGGCCTCTCCCGTTGTGGAGCACAGGCTCCGGATGCGCAGGCTCAGCGGCCATGGCTCACGGGCCCAGCCGCTCCGCAGCACGTGGGATCCTCCCGGACCGGGGCACGAACCCGCATCCCCTGCATCGGCAGGCGGACTCGCAACCACTGTGCCACCTGGGAAGCCCAACATTTACCATTTTTAACTCTACAACTCAGTAGTGTTACCTGTGTTAACATTGTTGTGTAACAGATCCTAGAAATTTTTCATCTTGCAAAACTGAAACTGTACCCATAGAACAACTCCCATTTCCCCTCCCCTTTAACCCCTGGAAACTATTGTTCTACTTTGTTTCCATGATTTTGACTACTCTAGATATCTCATAAGTGCAGTCATACACTATTTGTTGTTTTGTGACTACCTTATTTCACAAAACATTATGTCCTCAAGGTTCATCTGTGTTACAGCATGTGACAGGATTTCCTCTTTTTAAGGCTGAATAATACTCCATTGTATGTATATACCACATTTTCTTTATCCATTTATTTATTGATGGATATTTGGGCTGCTTTCAACTCCTGGCTCTTATGAATAATGCTGCAATGAACATTGGTGTGACCTCTTTGACCTCTTTGAGATCAAAGTCTTGGATATATATACCCAGAAGTGAAATTGCTGGGTCATATGGTAATTCTGTGATAATTTTTTTGAGGAGCCTCCAGACTTTTCTTTAGCAGCCACACCATTTCACATTCCTATCAGCAGGACACAAGGGTTCCAATTTCTGTATATTCTTGTCAACACTTGTTTTTTTCTGTTTTGTGTTAGTGACCACCCTAATGGATGTGAGACTGTATCTCAGTGTGGTTTTGATTTGCATTTCTCTGATTAGTGATGCTGAGCATCTTTTTGTATGTTTGTTGGTCATTTTGCATGTTTTCTTTGGAGAAATGTTTATTCAGGGCCTTTGGCCATTTTAAAATATGGTTACTTGTATTTTAGTTGTTAAGTTGTAGGAGTTCTTTATATGTTCTGGATGTTAACGCCTTACCAGATACATGATTTGCAGTTATTTTCTCCCATTCCATAGGTTTCCTTTTCACTCTGTTGATTGTTTCCTTTCATGTGCAGAAAATTTTGTTTGATATAATCTTCTTTGTCTTTTTATGATTTTCTTGCCTTTGCTTTGATCCAAGAAATTGTTGCCAAATCCACTGTCATGAAGCTTCCCCCATGCTTCTGTTAGGAATTTCATAGTTTTAGGTTTTACATTTAGGTCTTTAATCCATTTGGAATAAATTCTTGTATATGGTTTAATGGTCTAACTTCATTCTTTTGCATTTGGATATCCAGTTTTCACACCATTTGTTAAAAGACTGTCATTTCCCCATTGTGTAGCCTTGGCACCCTTGTAGAACATCGTTTGAGTGTATACATAAGAGTTTATTTCTGGGATCTCTGTTCTGTTTCACAGGTTTATGTGCCTGTCTACATTCCAGCACCAAACTGTTTTGATTACTGTAGCTTTTAAAATCAGAAGGTATGAAGCCTTCAGCGTTGTTCTTTTTTCAGATTGTTTTGGCAATTCAGGGTTTCTTGAGATTCCATGTGAATTTTAGGATGCTTTTTCCTACTTCTGCAAAAAATGACAGGGATTTCGGTTGGCATTGCATTGAAACTTTTGACCGCTTTGGATAGGATGGACATTTTAACAATATTAAGTCTTTCAATCCCCATGAATATGTCTTTCCATTTATTTGTGTCTTTTATTTCTTTCAACAAGGTTTTGTAGTTTTCAGTGTAAAGGTCTTTTACTGTCTTGGTTAAGTTTGCTCCTAAATATTTTATTCTTTCTAGTGATATTGTAATGGGATTATTGTCTTAATTTCTTTCTCAGATTGCTCATTGTTTGTATATAGACGTACATCAGATTTCTTTTTTGTTGTTGAGGTATAGTTGATTTACAATATTATATAAATCTCAAGTGTACAACATAGTGATTCACAATTTTTAAAAGTTATACTCCCTTTATAGTTGTTATGAAATATTGGCTATATTCCCTGAGCTGTACA